GACTCTCTGCCAAATCGTCGATTTTCAACGGGTCTTCCAACTTATCGAACTCCTTCAAATGAGAGAGATTGATCTTGTCCTTATTTTCGGTAGCTTTAAAGAACAAAGAAAAACGTAGAACGATAATAAGTAGAGAGATTCGTTTACGCTCGAGATAGTGGGAACAGTCGATAGAGATTGGGCAACGGTATGGCCAACGTCGTTCTCAGGCATCCCTGCCATGCCAGCACGCGTTCGAGGCTAACCTAGAAAAGGGATCGTTCGACGAGAGTCTCGATTAGATCAGCGAGCCACCCTAATACCACCCAACCACCGTTGGTCTACCTATTTCAACGCTATCTTCGAGGATCCTGCGTGCGTTGGATTTACGAGCGCGTTCCCCCGATATTACGTTACCTGCGCGAACCTTGAAGCCCTGCGTAGGGGTTGCGAGCTCGTTTATTACACTCCTGGGTGCGATTCGAACTCGAACAAGCGCCGTTGCACCGCCGCTCTCCCAAACTTTTCTCCCTTTTTTATCCTACCTAATCCGTGAACCTTGCCAACGACTCTTCTTTCATTTCTACAATGATATTTGGGTAGAACGCGTTGATCGGTAAAAGATCTACGACGATTGATAAAAGTCGATATTTATTGAACGAGCAAACAGATACCATCCAAGTACGACGAACTACTCGCGTTCGACTAAATCAATAGCGGCGACTATTATACTTGTCATTCGAATACAGAGAAAAAATACAATATTTATGGCGCGCCACGCGTATCATTCGCATATAAAACAAATATTGATCTAGGTAAAGACTACACGCGGCAAACGTAACGATCGATTCTAAGGAAAATACGAAACTAGGGAATGCGAGTTTTTCGAATGCGCTGCAACCTCGCTAGCAACGATCTAAACATTTTTCTGAACGTTTTTTTTGCCTATCGATCGATAAACCTTACAAAGGATTCAGTGGACGAAAGGCTCGGAACTCGCAGAACGACTGATTGCTCCTTTCTGGTGGTTCGTTTTTCCTAAACGAATATACGCGTACGAGGGACACGCTATATATCTAAGGATTTTTCAACGTTTCCAATGAAATGCGATGCGGGAGTATCGATGATTCCGAATCGATCGGAAGGGGGGTTGCGTCAGGGTCGGAAAATGGAAGGTTACCTAGGCGGCGTCCGAACCACCGAGTCAACCGAAGCAGCCTCCGATCGTCCCGTTGCCTGATTCTCGAGCAAACCGCAGGACCTACCGCATCCCCCCGCCCCCGCCAACCCGACGAAACATCCTTTATCGATCCTAGGAATGCCCCTACGATGACATCCAAACAAACCCATGAAGAAGATGACGGAAAGCAATATAAAAACAAACACCTCTCCGCCAGCTCATGACTTATGGATCCGATAGACGTCAGTAATCGACTCGGTGGTACTTGCACCGCGGCGACTAAGCGCGACACCTATTTTGTTTGTCGACCTACATAAGTAAACAGCCCTTATTTGTCGAGGAGACGACTCCGACCGCAGCCAATTTGTTTCGCTTTAACTTCCATCTTAACGCGGGGGATTCCACAATTGTTTCCTTTTTCATAAATTATCTTTCCGCGCGAAACTAAAGAATGGTTGAAAACGCGGCCAAGGTACGCGATACGATTCCGACATTTGTTTCCGACATTCGACGAACGTCACGCGACATGCATTTACTCTTTCCTACGCGACCAATTCCCAACGGGAGGAAATTGCAATAGGTAGAGAGTTCGTTTGTTTGTTTTTTTCCTCTCTTTAGGAATAAACGAGCTCGACATTGATACGCCGCCTATCGAATCGACGCGACGCGACGCGAGATTAAAAAGGTATTGGGTTGCGTCCAATCTGTTTTGCCTAACGAATGATCAACGCATTTGTTACATACGCTCGGAAAGGAGGAGGATAGCAAAAGTTTAGAAGTCATTGTTGAATTGCAAATCTCCAAAGGCAACGTCTCTCGCGTCTGCTTTTTACCCATTTACTTTTTGCCCCTTCTTTGTCCTTTGTCAAATTCTTTTTGCCTCACCATCCCTCTCTCTCTCTCTCTCTCGATTTCATCCTTTTACTTTTCTCATCCGCGCTCATCTTACTTTCCCACTTACATACTTTCCACCTTCGTCCACGTCGAGTCGTCTTTTTGTCCATTTGTTTCCTTTCATCGGAGCGCACTTCCAACACTGGTACGCGCCAACCCGCAAAGAAAACTTTTCTTCGAGCAACTATTTTCTTTATGCTCTTCCACCAACTTATCCGTCTACCCGCACGGATACGCATCACTGCTTTCATCCGTGAAAAACTATCTATAAGGTAAAACTCTCCTAGTGCAGTTTCAGAATAGACTTTAATAAACGTCTCGGAAGAAGTCGCCTAGCTTTAGCGAGGAAAACAAGACTATTCTCCTTCGCTATTCGATTTTCCAAAGATTCTTCGAGAAACTCGAGTAATGGCCGCGTAAATGGTCATTTTTGCGAAATTTCGTATTTTTCTGTTCGAATAATTATCCCAGCCGTCGCGGGAAAACGCGAAAGCGCCGAATCCATCCCATTTAAAGTGTCTTTATTATCGATCCTCCTCCGACTTTAACAGAAACGCGTGAAAACTAACGAAAGCCAGGCTTTTTTTAAAGCCGCGACTAACGAGCACCTTCGCCTGAATAAGAATAAGAGAATACCTTACTCTTTAAAGCTTGCGCTATTCGAAACATCGATTATCCTACGTTGCGCATGAAAATGTTGGACTTTCGATCGGACAGATTAAACGAATTAAGGAAAGTTAGTGCGGTAAGCTTTAGATATTCGAACGAATTGTACCCTCTTCAATCGCCGAGTTACAATCACCGTCGGCCATTTTCATCGGCGACGAAGGCAAACGAACACAATCGCTTTTCCCTCGACCAACTCGAAAAACTATGTAAAATCTTGTTAATTCGTGTAAAAGGGTACGCGATTATGTCGACGAGGGAAAACTACTCCTCGAGTGGGAAAAGTATAGACGGTCTCGAGTACTCGAGCCACCAAAATACATCACAAATTACCCTCTCCAATTTCTCCCTTTTCCAATCTATTTATTTTCAACCAATCGTAATAATGCTTGGAGCGTTGCGTTCCTCGCGCAATGTTTTCGAAAAGCTCGCGAAAAATCGACAGAAACGAAAAGGAGCTTTAATCGATCTTACCCCTTGTTTACGAATAGAAAAGAACGAAGGGGATGAAAGGGAAAAAAGAATAATGCGGATGGATAAACGGGTGGGTAGAAAAAGAAATAGAGAAGGAAAGTATGTTGTACCAGTTAAATATTGCGATTGAAGCGAATGTGAAAACAAAAAATCTAGACGTACGAAATGAACTTCCAACATAATTTTGAACGAGGATTAGTCGGCTTTTAAATTATGATCGATTAACGTAAGAGCTTTATTTCGTACTATTTGCGACCAGGATATAATTGTAATTTATCGCGAGGGAGCGAATAAAGAAAGAAAACAAAGTCCGCGAATTCGTTGTTCGAACACGACCGAACTACTAAAATCTACTTAAATCGTCGTCCATCGTCGTTGTCGACGAGACAAATATTTGCGTAGAGCACGACCGCCGAAACTCGCCACCAAGGAAACGTAATTAAAGCGATTGCACTTTTACGAAGAAAGCATTTTTCTCAGAGTTTTGCCATCTTTTTTCCTGCACCCTCTCACAATTTCTCGGTATTAAGGCGCATTGTCTGTTGGTACAATTTCTTAATGGACGCGAGGAGTAGTATTCGATGATAGGTCAGAGTTGGATAGGAAGAAGCTTTGCGAAGAGATATTTATTTTTCATCGATGGAAAGGAAGGAAGGAAGGAAGGAAGGAAGGGTCGTCCGCATTGTTTTCCCTTTGCGGTAGACGGCTTTTCAATTAATAACGCGCGACGTAACTGCGAATCGACAGGCTAATAGAGCGAAAGCTCCGTCCCGTGTTACGGCTTACTCCTTGATTAATGACGGATGATAAATGTGAAATTGGTCTATACTAGATTAGCGCCAGTTTGCGCCGTTTTGCGGTTCCATCGTCTAAGGTTCCATGAATGGGGACCATGGCGCACGGTGCTCGACTATTTTTAACAAAGGTTCGTGCGATATGGGAATAAACAAATGAACGCACTCACCCTTCATGCCGAGTACTTGCACCCTCTTCCGATCGAGGACACTCTCTGGCTCTTCCACGTTATTTGCGCGCCACTCGATGCGCAAGCCTCGAAAGGGAGTTTCGCGAGGTTATCGACGCTTCTAATTTTATTGCCAGCATGAAAAAGCGAGGGCCGACGTATGTATGAGAGAGCCGGGAGATGCTTCAGGAAGAGCGTCGTCCGAACACTGAAAAACGGAGGAGGAACGAAGTGAGAAATAGGAGCATAAGCCTTTGTCTACGGGATCAGCGATAATTACAGATAATTCAAGACAATTCCAGAGATACGGCTAGGCTAATAAGTTTGATAATAATTTTAGTATCCTTTTTTACAGTTCATTCGAGCACTGGAATAAAGTCTACAAACGCTTCGAGTAGAAAAAAATGCTAGAAGAAAATAAATAGCGAGAACGTGTCGCTCGAAAAAAGGGAACTCGAATTTCGGTATGTAGAATGTAAAACGCCAAAGGACCGATCTTTAAAGGTAGGAGGTCCTTTAAACGTTCTTTAAACGTTCTTTATGCAAACGTACGAGGTAAACTTTACGAGAGACGAGGAGGAGCCAGAGAACATCTCGAATATCGATTCTATCGATCGCTAAACGAAAATATTATCTTTACCGTTACGACGCGTTCCCCGATTAAAGTACGAAAGGCTCGATTCACCGAAATTCAATCGAGTTATTGGACCTACCTGATGCTTTCTATAGGTACGTACATTATGCTTTGACGAAAAAAAAAAAAAAAAAAAACAAGCAAAATGATTTCCCTTTATAAAGTACAAGAAAATATAATTAAAAAAGGAATGAAAAGGATTTCTGTACCTGGAATACCGACAAATTTGGCGCAACCTTCCGCAACGTCGTTACACCGAAGAAGAGACGGAGCCTTGCTCCGACGAGTCTCGGCACGAACTGACATTTCGTCAAACTTTTGCCCCCTTCCTCCCCCGTCTGCTGCTCTCTCTCTCTCTCTCTCCTTCTTTTCTTCTTCTCTCGAAATGTTCCCTTTTCTTCCTTTTCTTCTTTTCCCCACGATCACTTTCAATTATCTTTGAAATTCGTTAGAGATGCATTCTTCTCCTCGTTATCCTTTCGCGTACCTAAAGACATGGTTCTACGTGGAAAAAAGGGTCCGAGCGAGGAAAGAGGGAAGAAAAAACGCGCGCCAACTAGGAACAAGAGGAAGAAAGAAAAGGTATCGGAGCGAGAAGAGAAAAAAAATGTTGTTTTTTTTCTTTTGCCGCTCGAACGTCTTTCGAGTCGATCGATGGAGGAGGCTCTCCATCTTGAGCAAATATTTCCGAACGCGAAACTTTCGTTAAAAGAACTCTGTCGCGAAGCGTTGGTTTAAATAAAAATAAAGAATATGCAAAAGAATCTCTTGGATTAGGCATAACTAACGAAGGTCAGGTTGAAAAAGAGCACGCTTGACCTGGTTAGGGAATCGCGTATGAGCGACCCGGCGGTCGGTCCATCGAACGACAAATGCCAGGGATGCAGCACGCGTATATCTACCTAAATTCGAATAACGCGCGCGCGCGCGCGCGCGCTCGCCTGCCGAAGGAACGCATCTAAAAAAGGAGCGAATTTGCGAGGAGGAAAAGGCGCCTACCTATTTGCGGGAAGAATTGAACTTTGTCGAATGTAAGGAAAGCGATCCTTGAGGGTATAAAAAAAGGTGCTTGCGTGGCGGGAGTAGTTGGTGCGCGCACGAGGGATTGACCCAGTTTGAAAGCAAGGACGAGGGAAGGCCCGGAAAATGGCTCGGCGCCGTTGACGACGCTTCCACGTCGACGTCGCGGTTCGCACTGATAAACCCTCGGCGGCAGCGCAGGCAGGGGTGGTATCGGTCGAAGCGCCAGCTACTACCACGTCCTTGGATTGCGTCCGCCGCCCCTCCATATCGATCAGTGCGCGCTGCTACCCCTCCCCCATCCTCCCCCAACAAGATGTTCTCCTTTTATTTTCCTTTCCACCCCCACCCACTGCGTTTCTATTTCTCCTTCCATTTGTCTTTCCCTTCGGCTAAAGTGCATCGGCAACCCTCGGAAAAATGATCGAAAGCCTTGTGGTGCCATCCGAGCGACGAAACATAAATCACGCGCGCGTTCTCGCTAATTGACTTGGCAGTGCCGACGACAAAGGCAATAGATGAGCGCATGCGCCAACAACGATAAACACTTTGATTCTCGAAAGGCTTTATCCTCGTTTTAATTACCGAAAGCGCAGCTGTCGGCGGTACGGTCACGTTTATTAAACGATTAAAAGCAGCGGCGCGGCACTGCAGTGCTGCGTAGGGGTTGCGCGCGGAATTTGAAAACTTTTTCCCACGGAGGGCCAAATTGATCTACGCGTCCTTCCTAGGACGTAGCCAATAATTCCGCGAGATGTTGCAAGAGAAGAAAAGTACGCGCTAGCTCTCCTTCCCTAATGAAAACGTTTCCCCTGGCGTTTTTGAATATTCAAGACGTTCTCGCCTATTCTTCCGTGAATATAACTCTCGTTCGTCTTCCTCCGCGGAACGAGATTCTCCGAAGTTTGCTTCTATCCTAACGAATTTCAAAACGAAAATTCTAGAACGCGATCAAATAAAGGAACTTTTATTCGACCTAATCGTTCATTTTCTCATTAGTTGTAACGCGATAATGTACATTAAGTATATTATTATCTTGGCCTCGAATGGTTGCTCTCGAGTTACACAATATGCTAATACGATACTGAAAATAGAGAATGAAGGGAGAAAGCTGCGGTAGGACGAAACTCGTTAGAGTGCGAATATCCAGCATTATGACGTGGACAAGGAGAAGATATCGCATTGGGAGAAACTGGGAGGCTCGGTTTTGGGGCCGAAGCAGCCTCGCAGAAAGGGTCGAGATGGGAACGAAACCGGGTCTTGCGAGCGTCGTTCCGACCTACATACGATTCTCTACCCTCTCCCAACCCTCCCCCAAACAGTGCCGGACCAACAACGTCGCATTTGGATCGTAGGCACCGAGAGAAAGCCAGCCAATTATTCTCACCCTCTTTTCTTATTTTCATCGTGGACCGCGCAAAGTTTTCTTCAAATAATCCAACGAAAGGTTGCGTAGACGGCTCGAATATGTAATTAAGGAGGAACAATGGCATCGTCTTCGGTTCAGGGTACTCGCCTTTTGCGACACGATGTTGCTCTTACGTCACGTCGGCTGCCATCCTCTTCTTCCTTTCTTACGTCATTCAACGAAGCGGTGTCCGTATCTCGCGACTTTTACTCAATGGAATCTTCGGGAAGAAAATCCTTTCTCTAGAATTTCTCTCTACGTAAGGTAAGTTCCGACGTCGGATCATTTACCCAAATTCCATAGTTTCGCTATGGAATAATTGGACGATCCAAAAATAGTAACGAACCGGATTTCCATTTGACGAACGAACTCGTTTTTTCTTTTTCTTCTCGCTGGAATAATCGCGGTATTCGCGGTCCGGCTCGTAATTTCGAGCGGCGCGAACCTCGTCCGTCGATATTGAGAAAACGTCAAATGGAACGGGGAACAAGCGAACGAGCGAGCGAACGAGCGAGCGAACGAGCGAACGAGCGAACGAGCGAGCGAACGAACGAACGAACGTCGGTTATTAAATTTCAATGTTACAAGTCGGTGCCGGGACTTTCTAGGCGTCGAATCGAACGACGAATTTATTTTTTCAGCCCATTTCTATGGTACGTCACCGATATTTCGATGGCAAAATGGCATGCAACGCCGCCGAATGCGTTGACAAAAAGGATCAAACAAACAATTGTACATCATTATTCTATTAGATTGGGAGATCTATAAATATATTGGTCCAACGTCTTAAAAACAAGTTTTTAGGAGGAAAGGGATGTCTTTAATAAAGATCTTTACGCGTCAAATACTCGGAGAAAAGTTTCGTATCGCGCTCGATTCGAGGAATAACGAATGGATATTGGTCTTCGAGTGCAACGGCTGAAAGTCGTTTGGCGAAAAGTACCGTAAACATCTTACCTCGCGGAACTTTCCTCCCACATTTTTCTCCAAGGAGCAAGGGCGGAACGGGAAAAAAAGCTAAAAGATGCTAGATAAGTCTAAGCTAGAGCATTCTGAGTACGGTTCCGTTCGATTGCCAATTGGGAATCTTTATATGCAACGCGGGATGTCAAATATTTTCTACTTCCAGTATACGAACATCCAATTCCTCTCGCTTCGAACCGATAAGGGACTCTCTCCCTTTCCCACCATTTCATTCGTCGCTGTCACCGCTAAACGATTTCAAAACGACCTTAATAGAATACGACGTTTTACCGATAGGAAACGCTTTTCGATGTGCATTCGATAATAACGACGTTTTACGTTTACTTTTATATTATCTGTCGTTGATAAATGATTTCATTTTTAATCGTTACGCGAAAAGATAAATTTACTAAGTGGGTGTACTTTGGCTGCAAAGGGTTATCGTCGATAGGTAATCGCCTAAGAATTTATTCTCCGTTACTAAAAGATGAAAATTATTTGGAAAATATAAATCACAGAATCACATACGTCGTTTGTTAATCGAGAGGAGAATTATATGTTAAATAAAAATGACAAGGACGTTAATATTCGGATCGTTTAGAGGGATTCCCACTTTATCGACTCTCGACGTAGGGTTGCTTTTACAGCAACCGAATTGAGAGCGGAGATTTCCAAAGGTAACTTTCTAACTCGTTAATTCTGTGTGATCAATTGGACGTTACTTTTTTGTCCACGTTAAATCTAACTTGGATGATGAAATTGACAGATTATGAACCGGAAGAGGAAAATCTACGAAGGTCATCTACGGAGTAAAAAAAACACATTCGATTTATGTACAGCTTATATAAAACATCATTGCGCAACGTAGTCGTATCTTACACATCTCGTATTTCCAGCCATCATCAATTTTCTACTACATATACGAATCGACCCGATATCTTTGATATCCATCTTATACGAATTACACGAACGTTTCATACACTTTTAATATTTCAATTGGCTTACGCTCGAATGGAAATAAATTACAAAATATTGGAAAGAAGAAATATCGCTGCTAGTGCGAGACAAAAATATTAAACGAAACGTAAAAGCTTTCGAATTTTGGTCCCGACTAAATCGACTATTATAACAAATATAAATTGTTATCATTTTCGCAAATATTCTACAAATTGCGCATATATTGCACACTAATATTAGCAAAATAAAATATCGATGAAATGTGTCGCAAGAGAAGAGAGCGTACATTTCTATATTTCATATTATATAAATATGTATCACTTTTGCAATATACTTCCCGCGCATGCACGCGCTTAACGATAAATTTGTTCTCGCGATGGACTAGCTTAAAATAATTTCGTTTCTCGCTCGGGAGAGAAACGCGCCGTCGATTGCCGCTTACCTTATGATTATGTACAAAGTGTTATTTCTTTAATCTCGATTCGTACATTTTGCATAAGTCCCTTATATAATAATATAATACACATTTCGCTATTCCAAATTTATCTTACAAATAATCGACAAAAACGTCGAGATGTCATCGATATTCTTCTACAACTGCCTATTAGATACTTAAAGCGAGTAAACGTCGGAGTCTAAAGAAAGGGCTAAACGACTAATTACACTTGTACCTAAATTACTTTCTGCGTAAACGAGTTAACGAAACTGACGCGTAAAAAGTATCGATGTCAAATGCTCTTGGAGAAGTACGCGTACGGCATTTATTATTACAAAAATTATTACGTGCGGCGAATAATACAAGGAAGAAAGGAAGAATATATTTTCTTAGCAATTAGAATGGTTATCGGCTCGTTTACCGATCAATGCAAATCTGACCGACTCGAGATCGTTTTGATTAAGAAAATGTACATTCCCGTTGACGATGAATCTTCTCCTTCAACGTTTCTCTTTCGTTCATTAACTACTCTCTACTCGGTCCGTTAATGTCATCACCTGTGCGGACAATTCGGTAGATGCGGGAAGAGGTGACAGTGAATGGATTTGAATCTGAAACAAAAAAAAAGAAAAAAGAATAATGATCGATTAGTCAAAAAGCGGAATATCCTGCAAGAAAATAACGGCATCCATGTTTACAATGGCGTAATTATTGTAAAGTTAATTAAAAGTCGTAAGATGCAGAGTACGCGATCTCATCTCGATGCCGTTACCTTTCCCCTTCTACCTATCTCTCTCCGTCTTACATATTTCCAGCACCCTCGGTAAATTAAGCAAATAATTGAAGCCTTTAACCGAGAAACGTCGCATTTCTCGCTTATTACGCTTAGCTAATCGAGATAAAGGAATGTACCTTTTCGGATCCTCCTTCATATCGAATCCATCGATTTTCAGGATATTCCACTCGTCTCGTGCACCTTTCGAATAGCTGAAAGATACCTGCGGACAAAAAGAGAAAGATCCTTTCTTAATCCAAGCGATAAATAAAAGTGCACGTTTGAAACGTCAAATATTTGTCACCGAAGCGAATGAAGCATGGCCGAATGACTTGCGTTTTCACGATTGACCGAGCACGAAAGGTACAATATAGTAGTAAGTCATTTTTTCGATGTTGCGAGTTTGATTTTTCATTGGATAATAATAAGAAACTATTTGAAGTTTTCCTTGCTCGTTCGATAACCGTTTCGATAAGAAAATTACCTGCTCGTGAAAGGTGTCCTTGTTAAGGAACTTCATTGGCTCTAAATGCGAATGAAATTGCTCTATCACCGTCAGCTGCTTCTTCAAAAGGTACTCGATGATATATCCCATGGTTACGTCATCGGGAAGCCTGATTCTATCGCCTACGGTGATGAACTTTCCGCCTCTGGAAAAGATGAATTAATAATAAATAAAGTATCAGCAAGCTTTTCCGACTCGTCAATGCCAAGAGTAAAAAAAAAGTTGACAAAGTTAATTTGGCAAGATTCCAGCAAGCATGCAGATTAAGCTTGGCGGAGCACCTGCTGTTTACGTGCCCTCCTCCTCCCCCTACGCCTCCCCCCTCTGCCTCGTCGTCAACGCATTCGCGCGTCAGTTTGAGAAAAACTGGTTAGGGTGCGTTTAATAAACGCATAGATCTTGGATATTTGCGCGATGAAAAGCAAGTTTGTTCGAGACGAGACGGATGCGCCGGACGGCGGGGCATAAATCGTCCCAATTAGAGAGGACCCAACGAGCTGCGGTAGTCGCGAGGAGTTCATCGAACCGAATGAAGAGCAGCAAAGCGCGCACGCCATAGGTAGAAGAGAAAAAGACCAATCGGAAAATAAAGAAACGAAATTGAATCGTTTGGTAGAGCGGAAAAATCGTCGTTTGACCGCGAAGGACGGTTCGAGAGAGGGAGCGAGCAAGTTCCTTGACCGGTTATAAAGCAACGGAGAGTCGGGTTGGCGCAGGTGCAGTCGAGTAGGTAAAACAAGATAACGGCGATAGGAGCGAGGACGGACGAGTGCCACTGAGAACGCCAAGGAAAGGAGACTATGGTAGAGGTTCGGCGAGCGTACTCATTAGCGAATACCATCGGTGGATTCTCCATTCCGTTCTGACCAGGCGGCCCCGGTTCTTTTTAATTGGCCAGATTAGTCCCGAAATCGCGTACCCTTTTCTCCACCCTTTTATCTCACTCTACCTCCCACCCGAAACGGCCGCGTCCTTTCTACACCGCCGACACGGAATATCGTCCTCGTTAAAATACCTGGCTCGACGAAAAGGAAATTTTCGAGGTTAAGAGAACCGGAAAGAAAGGAAGAAAGGAGACTTCTCACCGATGGGCCAAAGCGTCCTTGGGGGAGGGCCGCTTTTCGTCTTGCTTCGGCGTTAACTAACGAAGCAAATATTTCACTTAGACGGATTCCCTCCAAATTCTTCCTTAATAAGCTCCACCGAAAAGGATTCCTCAAAGATCTCTCTCTCTCTCTCTCTCTCTCTCTTGGGTTCTCTAGGGTCCTTCGAATCCGTAAAGATAAATTTCGCATTGCACAAATCCTTAATACCTTTACATTATATATATATATATATATCTATATAATATTATTACATTATTTGGCGTTGGATTGGCCGACTTTAATGATACACCGGGATGAATCGTGAAAAATTGCTCGGATCGCATTTGGTATAGATCGAAGAGGGACCGTAGGTATAGAGGAATGCCCAAATTGCTTTGACGAGGTCCAACGGATGCCGGCCGGCCGATAGACGCGCAAGCAACCAGGAATCACTGGCGATCGCCGGAAAGGAATCCAATTAAGCGAGCAATAATGGAATCGAACAGAACTCGGGGGCCAGTTTGTTTCTTCTTTTGCTCTCTCTCTCTCTCTCTTGGTCCGACGTAGAACTCGGCGAGCACGCATACAGAAACGTCCTAGTAGAGCGCGCGCGCGCGCGCAATCGTAAGCTCGTGGGTGGCAATCGTACGTCGTCGCTCGTCACGACGACGATATCGTCGCCGGAGAAAGAAACTGGGGAGGGGCAGGAGGGAGGAGAAAGAAAGAGCCGTCTCTAGCTCGGTCCTAATTAAGCGGCCGGTTCCCGATCACGAGAACCGTCCCTCCCTCCATTATTCCTTATCCCGTGTCGCGTTGATTCTTTGTGTGCCGATTGACGCGCCCGGTGAATTTACGATAGAAAAGATCGATCGAGGAGTTCGATGTCAATGACAAAGACGTTGCGTTGGCGTTGCGTCACGCGTCCTTTGGAAAATGAATGAGCGGAACGGGCGCCGTTGCTACGACAATTAACGCGTTTAGAGAAATAATTGATATTACGCGCGAGTGGCTACTCTCCGGAAGCAAGGAGCTTTCCTCTCTTCTCGGTGGAATTTCTCAAAGGGTGGTCGGACGCGCAAAAGATCGTAACTCGAAAAGATTCGTAGGCAGCTCCGTGACGAAGCATTTCCGCGAGCGTAATCGCCGGCTATTACGGACGACTCGGAAGGACGAGAGACGAAGGAGCAACCTGAACAAGATAAAGAAGCCAAAGGAAATAGAAGAGAGAAAAATAAAGAAAGAAAGAATGAAATAAAAGACAAGGACTCGCGGTCCGAGAGATCGCGTGTCTCACGCACTCGCGCGATCGTCTCCAACTTTTTCCCCTTCGTTATTTCTTAGCTTAGAAATGATTGTAGCCCCGACCAAGGAAGAGAGAAAGAACTTTGCGCTGTAAATAATGATCGAGGTTGTATATATCGCAACGATGATAGGAAATATAAATGGACTCACCCAGCTAGCGGCGTCATTTTCAGCGCTAGAGCCCTGCTGATGCAAAACCCGGCTCCGCCCGTAGCAAACCAGAATCTGACCTTTTGCTGCAACATAGAGAAATAAAGTGAGATCGATAGGATCTCGAATAAAAGGCTGACCTACGTATCTCTCTATTGAGAACGTCAGTAACGATCAAGCTCGATCCAGCCAGCGATCCGGAAATATCGGTGCTCCGATCGATCGGTCGACCTTAATCGCGTCACGTCGCGCTGCTCCCTTCCGACAAATAACTCTTTTCCACATTTCCTATCGATTAATCCAATTTCCCTCTTTCGAAGAAGCCATAACGGTACTTTTAAGCGATCGCGAAAGATAGCGGCGCACCAAGGTCGGCGGGGAAAGAAAAGAACAACGCTCGCTTCCGATCGACTTGTTCCCGTTGACCTGGAAACTCGAAGCACGGCGTGCTTCGGTCTCTCTCGCTCTCGAGCCGCACGAGCCGCACGAATCCTGGAGAGAACCCGGGGAAAGAAGGTTTCGAAAGAGTTACGAGCGTTGAGCCGATTTCCGAAGGTTCGCCATCGTTGCTTGCCGGCCATTACGGCTCCGGACTCGTAGGAGCGATACCATCTCTCTTTCGCTCTCCCGACCGTACACTTTCCTAGGCTGGGTGTGGTACGATACGTAGCGTGCCCGCTAGCCACCTTTCCGTCCCTTCCTATATCTCGTGTATGATCGTAAGGTCAAGTAACGAGAGGCTATCGTGGACCGTTACCGTTACGACGAGTCTAACCACACATCCTTCCTTTTCTATTTCATTTTATTCGACTAGGTCCGCGCTGCTTTCTTCCAGTCGATATCCGACAATAATCCACCGATGAAAGGAACAGGAGGGACACGCGAGCGAGAACTCGACGGCAGTTGTTGCGTTGTCGCGCATTCCCAAAGAAGAAGAAACGGACGGGACCTCACGGACGCATTAGATATACAAGAACGATAGGAAGGGTAGATAGAATCGGGCCGCTTTTACAAGGGGGCGGGGAGGGGGGCGCCACTCGGTTCTTTGTTTTCTCTCCTCGGTGCATTTGAATAACGCAAGGTCGCGTTCTCTTCGACCGGCAAATCTTCTTTACGCGTGCACGGATTTAGCAATATTCTATACCTACACCTTAGCTCTTCTAACTCGTGCACTCTCTTTCGACGTTTGTTCGAAAATTTCTAAAACAGGGATCGCCAATCTCTAACGATCCACATTGTTTATTACGTTCTATCGATATATAATCACGGTTATTAGGAAAACGAGTCGTGGTATAGCTTGGCGATTCGAACGAGCGAGTAATAATAAAGCGGGAGTTAAAGGCGGTCGTTATTAACGTATAATAATTACGGGTGAGAGGCGGGTTCGCTCGTTCGCGCGTGCTCGCGCGAACATAGGCGATCGGAGAAAATCACGTTGTCTGTCGGTGTGTACGTGGTGCGCGCTCGCTTATGCGCGCTCGCTTATGCGCGCAAATGTGTGTTTGCCGGGAACAAAAGGAGCGAAGATGGGAAAAGAAAAAGCAAGAGAAAATTTCGCTCGATTTAGAGAGATGGGAACGATCCGATAATTTAAGCCCCTACTTCTACAAAAAGGGAAACATACACGATTCGATGGAAAGTCTTGAGAATAATTGAGAAAACGATTCGAACGATTCCACCTCCGCTCTAATACTTAAATAGTAGCCTGCCTACCTATTCAATTATCTATACGTATAGGTATCTATTGATAAAAACACACGGAGAAAATACAAAAGCTTATGTTCCGTTGCTCGCGCGAAAGAAAGATGGTGCCAAGAGATAAATAGAAAGAGAGAGAGAGAGAGAGAGAGAAGCAACCGACTATAATAATATGAAAGTAAATGGAGAGGTAGCGTACGTGGGCAAGTAGGAATCGTAGCATCCGTTTCTCTCCACCTTGGCCGAAGGCAAGAAGGGGCCGAGGGGGAAGGAGGAAGGAGAGGATACGCATCTAGAGTCGGCATACTCGCGGAGGCCGTCACGGGTCACGAGCGAGTCTCCCCCTTCGCTCTTTCCTTCCACATATGATGCTAATAAAGTATAGCGCGAGACTACTTTTTTCTTATCGTGCAACGACCCTAAAGAGGGAAGGAAAATCGCAAAGCCATCGCGAAGAGCGAGATTCTTATTTTGTCGTAGTTCCGTTCTAACTGAGTACTCGCTTATGGTCGTCACGGGTCACGCGAGCACACCCATTGTAATTCCGCTCGTTTCTACGAACAATGGCAGCGGTGAGCGCAATTACGAAAGACTTCGTTAACGTTAAAATCGTCTTAGTTGGTTGGTCTTTATTAAAACGTCCGGTCCTCGTGCCGATGCGCCACGTGGAAACCTAATAGAAAACGAACCGAGTACCTTCCGATCGGTGACTTTATGCGTTGCCACGAAAAATAATCTAACGGTAAAGACAACGAAGAATCCTCTTGATGAAATGATATTGAATTTTCCGGGAGAGTAAACACGAAAATGCTACGACCAAGAGAGGGAAGGAAGAATCCATCCGACTTCACGGACGTCTGCACCCCACGAACAATTCCCACGTTCGTAACGCGTTTTGCCTTTTCTTTCCGTGCTTTCAGGAAGAACTAGACGCGAAGGAGACGACGAGTCGCACGGTATTCCTTTTTTTTCTCTTTCTTTCTCAATGAACAATCGATCCATTAGAAAATATCTCGTAAGGAGGAAGAAAAATCGGCGAAGGTGTAAGGCCGCAAAGGGGGCAGAGGAGCAACGCATTCCGCGAAATGCCTCGTAATTACACGGAATCGCACGGAGAGCTCGATTTAATTATCTTAACGCAATTAACCGCATAAAAGGGGATCTCCGTGTACTCGGCGCATTCCCCGCTAATTTCTCCTCCCTTTATTTTGATTATTATTAACATTAATGGCTCGTCGATCGCAAGCCGATCGAACGACGCATCGATTTTTTCTTTCCCCGCCGCAACCGCAAACGAAAACCTATCTGCAATTTTCATTTCCAAATAAAGAAAGAAAGACAAACTTTGGCCATTATTATAGCCGTTGGTCGAATCGACGTAAAAGCGCGATACGTGCCGCTACCATATTATGCGGAGACCATTGAAAAAAATGACAAGGAAGAAAAGAGAAATCATCTTTGAGGATGGATTGCGCTCGTTCGTATTGTCGGATGATTACCATGAAAGCTCTACCAACTACTTCGTTCTATTCTTCATTCAACTCTTCTCCATCGATCTGCACTGTTCGTTCGGAAACCGCAACGATCGTAAGGGCAAAAGGGGGAACGAGCGAAAGGAGGTTCGAGACTCTCCTTGTTTTTCTTTCAAGAAAGCCACAGAAACGCGAGTCTCATGGAATAATAATAATTCTACTTTCACGTCAGCGGAATGAGAGAGACTTTGTGACATGAGAAAAGGGACGGAATAAAAGAAAAATATAGGAACGAGAGAGAGAGAGAGAGAGAGAGAGAGAGAGGTGGCCAAGACGGAATGCACGCCATGTGTCACACATCCGCGTGTACGCACGAGTGCCTTGGAGTTACGCGGATACAGGGTGCGATTTTCTGACCGCATCGTGAGAGGTGTCGCACACTCCGAACCGTTTTAGAAAACAAATCTTACTACTAAATAAAGTCCGAACGTAATGTTCCAACTCCTTCCTCTTTTAAGCCTCTTACGATGTCCAACGAATATCGTCGTTCCGCGTGACCGCCCACTACTCTGCGGTTTTCCATTAGTCCAAGCGGAAGGACCATAAGTGGAACGTGCATCCTCCTATCTTCTTTTATCGGAACATTTTCTCGATTACAAGACCGGCCAGACGAAACGACCTTATTACTTGCAACTTTTTTCAAACAATCTTCTCCCCGACACGAATTTCATCATTTCAATTTTTAAATCGAAAGCGAAGGATCGGACTTTCCTCTTTCTCTTTCTCTCTCTCTCTCTCTCTCTCTCTCTCTCTCTCTCTCACTCTCTCTCTCTCTCTCTCTGCCTATCCGTCTGTCCATTAGACGAATGGTAGCCGATAATTATCGGCAGCGATCCGGGCCGCGGATTCGATAAATGACTTTAATAAAACGCGTCGTATTTCAGAAGATTGTCAGACCTTCTTCTTCTACGTTCTCAAATGATTAATGCGACCACTACCTTACCGCGGGCTTACCTTACCGCCTTCCTGCTGTGGCCACCTACCGTTCCTCCTTTCCTTTTTCCTCTATCTCTCTCTCTCTTTCATATCCTTTCACGTCGGAGCTCCGTATCTTTGGCGTCTCGCTCTCCTCTTCCAACTCCGCCTCTCTCTAGCTGTCGTCTTTTTCTTCCTTTTCGCGACCTCTCGACAAGATGAACAGACCCAAGCACGGAAGATGCAACGCGCTCGCTCGCGACTAGTCGAGGACACGCCCAAGAAGACGCAAACGCAAACTTTTACTACAACCAAGATGCAACCCGATGTTCTGCCGCGATCGATCAAAATGCTCTAACTTTTTATTCCCTTCGATAAATTTAAACAAACTCTGTTAAAAGTTGAAACCACCCGGGAAAAAGAAAATACCAACTCGAACGATCTATAGAATAATCGTCATAAAATAGTCATCGATAACGAACAACGACCATATATCGACGTCTTTAAGATACGAGAAAATGAAGAGAGAGGAGAGAAAGAGAGAGAGAGAGAGAGAGAGAGAGAGAGAGAAGAAACGAGGAAGAAGCAAGCAGCAAAGACTATGTCGATTCTCCGGAGCCAATTTGCTTTCTAAACCAAGCGAAACGTCGAGCGGACCATTATTACTCGAAGAGCTCCGGTACATATCGCCTAACGGCCATAAACGTACGTGTACTTGCAGTTACATATATATGCAAGGAAAAGACAGGACTTGAAGGTAATGCTAAAAGGGACACGCGTTGGCAACGAGCATCGAGCCGTATCGGACGTTAGAAACGCCTAACATTCGTTTCGTCTATTTTCTCTCTCTCTCTCTCTCTCTCTCTCTCTCTCTCTCTTTCTCTCTTGTTTCCCCCCGGAGACAGCACGCGTAAGCGTAGGTAGATACATTTCTCCGCTTATATTATATCGTTAGTCGTAAGTTTCTGCTTTACGGTTCATTGCCAGGTTATTTCTAAACTTAAATGAGCATTTCGTCAACGACCAACTACCGGTCGTCGATCCTTCATTAAAACCTTAGTCAATTCTCCTGGTCTTTTATTATTTCTCAACGTTGTGTCGAGTTTTTGTCCATCTCCCTGTTGTCGGTGGGCTTCGGAGATCACCCTTTCACCCGGGGCGTGGTGCCGGCTGTTGTCCAAGGTAAAAGAGATCAAGGATCAGGAGGGTTCGGTTTATTGGAATGATCGATAAAATACGATGCACGTAAAAATGCAAGAAATAAAAGACGCTACCGTTTCCGTTAAAGTTCTCGCGCGCGCGAATAATCCTTTCACCCGCAGTGACGGCGTTTTACGGTTGCACCACCTTCCCAAAGAATGCAAACTAACGACGTACGTTACCTAGAAACGCTTTCAACGGAGTTAATTGTCCCTAGGTTGTAGCTCTTAAAGAATCATCTAGATGTCGAAGGATCGATTACGAGCGGAGCAAAGAGGTAAGGAAAAAATGGTGAAAAGTTTGGCGTCTCTGGTGGGCGTATAACCGGGAGGCAAACTCGTTCGTGTGCGCAGCTCGTGTGTGCAGCTCGTGTGTGCAGCTTGTGTGCACGTACGTACCCTGCTATAAACCGCCTCCTTCTTGTCTATATCTCTACCTCCACGCGAAGTCTCGAGATTTCTCGAGCAAATATAATATACGAGTACGCGGAGCCCGCGGGGAGTACCGTCCTCGACGAAGGAAGACCATAATCTTGCTCTGCTTGGAAGATGGTACCACACCCATGGGGGGTCGCGGGAGAGATACTCGACCGGCTGCTTCTACATCCCACAATACACGTTACCGGATTCCACCAACGAACCATGATTTTCCAACGAATCGGCAAAGTGCCGCGATAAATATCGCTTGTCAAAAATCATCGACTATCTTTCAAATGCGCTCTCTTTCGAGTACAACGGATACGAATAATAATAAGGTAGAATCGAGTTTTGCGCAAGATTATGCCTCGCGCCAAGTGGGTTACCATACGCGTCATCGATAGTCATGGTTCGTAGGCACGAAGAACGTATGCGCCGATCGACTTTCGAACAATTTCGCGCAACGATACTGGGCAGACCGGTGTATCGGTTTAATCAACAGAGGAAACAAGGCCGTGCCGAGACAATTTCCTAAGAGGAAACATTCTCTCTCTCTCTCTCTCTCTCTCTTTCAAAATACGCGACGTTGAATTTATTTGCATGTTTCTAGCTCGATTCGTACAAAACCCTCGTCGTTAAACAATTAACGTCGAGCAGCGTTTCGTAAGTCGTCTTGGCGTGTAATCATTTTTAATGACAAAGTAGCGAGTATGGAGTAATCGCCGGTGAACGACGGTGATTCGTTCATTTCGGTGATTCGATACATAAGAGACGAAATCGGTGTCGTTATCGAAAGTGTAAGAAGGCTGTGGTTAAACGATGAGAAAAAAAAGAGAATATCTTAAAGTTACCGGTCGTTTCGATGGCTCTGGTCCCTGCCTCATGATTTCCAGAGGGGCTGGTATCGAAGGTCTGCCAAGATACCAATCCTCCCGTGGGTTGTAATTGTCCAGGAGCTTCAGAAGGCGTGGTACGTTCACGTAATTATCGTCATCGAAGTGGCAGAACCACCTGGAACGCACAACCAAAAGTGAACTGAGTTAAGTTCCAGCCGAAAACACCAATTTTTATATCCGCCATTGCTAAGGTATAATAAAGATATTAGGGTTGAGTCATTAAACTCTTCAATTGTTTGATAAATTACGCAAGCAGCAGCAACGCTAGACGCGTGCGTAGAACATTAATGAAATTTCAAGCGGACGAGTCGGTCGCGATCGCGTCTAAATAAATGCTTAAATAAATCAACGCATTGAATTTCGATTGAGATCAAAGGAAGCAAATAAGCCGAGGGAAAGAGAAAGAGAAAGGAATTGTTCGGAGCTGTCGTTAAGCTCGTCCGAAAGAAACTCGTTCCGGCGATGGAGTAACGAGCCGACAAATTGCCGGGTCAAACCGAACGAGGAGTCGTGGGTGTGGTGTGTGTGTCGTTAATTATCCGCGTAAACGAGCATTTAGCTCGCGGATGAAAGCCGGATGCACAAATTCGAGTTACCGAGTTATTCCCCCTTTTACTCTTTTATTCTTTTACTCCTTTGCTCTTTTTTCCCAACGCCTAAAACGATATTCATTTATTCCAAAATGTGAATAATAAAGGAGAAGAAAAAAATGTCGATAGGAAGCGTAGTATTTATTCGGAATATCGTATCGAGCGTTCTCGTAGGAATCTATAGTCGTCGCGAAGCCTTCCGTAGACATCTCGTCGAGAAAATCGCACCTCTCGACCACGCAATCCGATCGTGCGTGGATTATTAAAGAAGCGTCCGCCTCGTAAAAACGTCTACACGCGGCTACGTGCAGCCACATGGATTCTTTGTGGCATCTACTCGCAGGTGTATCCGCTCGTTATCGCTTGACTAGAATATTTCTACGTATAGAAGGACGTCGTATTATACGCATAGGAAGAAAATGCATGCGCGAACTTGACCAAGAGGGTGCAAAACAACCGTTTTACACGAGTACCCCACGTTGACCAAATGAACGATGCATCGTAGCCTACCGTGGGAACCTTCGCTACCACCATCATCCTGCCCCCCTTCTATCACCCTTCTACCACCCTTCTACCACCCGCCGAACACGCTCCGAAACACGTGGCACTTTTCCACACGCGAGCGACACGCGTATGCATCGCAGGAGGCTAACGTCTTTTGTGTTTACATTTCGCTTTGTCCTGTATTTCTGCATGCGACGTTCGATCGAATAGAGTGCATTTCAATGAAATACAAACATCGAAATAGATCTTTTTAGTATTTCTTCGAATGAAACCCTTCGTAAACGCACTTTCCCGTAACTTGCGTTAACGCAATGATTAAAATCAATTATCAGGGGAGAAACGTTTCGGTGCGATGTGAAAAAGGGTCAGGAGGGTGGCTGTCGTACTCGTCGACCGATTGTGGGAAACCTTCCTAACTCGATTCCCATCCAAAGGGTCGTACCAAAATTCAATCTTGACACGATATTATTCCGAAGATCGGCGTTGCTGCGATAAAATATAAATAAACACGATATTTACATATTTCACAATATTCTTGTCGTCGAATAACTTCCAGATCCGGCTACTTATCTTTTTTATTTAGGAATCTACTAAAAAAAATAACAAAATTAAATAAATGAAAAATTGATATTAACCATTTACACTGGAGAACCACCGCCACTCGGTTTAACGCGATAATTCCAACGATAACGATGTTTATTTAGGTTTTATCGAAGATGAACTGTAGCTGGTCATTCTATTTCCTAACAAATGGTTAACAGAAAAGTTGAGCGTTTTAAATGGTGTTCCCCTCGTTTCATCTCTCTCGCACACACAAATCGTACTCTTAAAGAAGTATATATATATATATATTTTGTACGGTCGTGCAAAAAAAAAGACACGAGACCGTCGATAATCACGGCTCGTTACCTTTACAAGTCGAATACGCGCCGGATGTGCAACAGGTGAAATTACACGTCGAGAAAATTGCCGATCGTCGATCTCTTCCCCTCCTTGTCACGTAAGTACAAGAAAGACGTTGTCGTGTTCGACGTGTAGAGGATCGAAAGGTTGGCCTCGATCGCGTTTCTAGCGATTTCTACGAGACCGACGAATCGTCAATGTCTTATGCATGGAGGATCGTAAAGGCCAAGATCGTTTTAAAACCGAGTCAACGTAGAATACTACGTGTACGTATATGAGGATTGAAGAGTTAACGAGCAACTTGTATGGCGCGAGCTTACCACGCCCGTTTTTATTAGCCACGGCACTAGGCGGCACACGCCAACACAGCCCTGACCTTTTCCGCGCGAGCCACGTTCTCTCTTTTGCTTCCTCTTCCTTCGCATCTTTCCCACCTCTAACTCTCTCCTTTTCAAGAGAAAAATAGATTAAACGAATGGGAAGTAAATTAAAGACTGGACAGGTGCTCGAACACCTTACTTCCTACCGTCCAAGCTAGTTTACAACCAGTTTTCATTTAGGTATTCCGATTTATTTTTCAAACGCGAGAAACCTCGTTAGAGCATGTGCTCGACGATATCGCGATATCAAACAAATGCCAGCAAACGGCATCGGTATGCGGCTTCTTCGGCCAAAATAAAAACTTACATATTTACGTTGCCAGGTAAGAAGTAAGTGCGTAAAGATGCGATTGGGTATCGGGTAGCGATATTTCAACTCGATTAAGAGGAATAGTAAATTGATCGAACGGTAGGATCGGTTTGCTTCCATAATTAACGGCATTGCGAGTTACGCTCGTTAGAAAATCATGACCCTTTCTCTTAGTATAAATCTTAGAATTTGTTTTCTTCCTATATCCAACGCTTATCGTGTCGTCGTACGCTGTATTCGAGGAGTCGGTATTGAAAGAGTAATCGCCTTGATACGCCTTGATACGTCTTGATACGTCTTGATACGACGTCAAAGATAAAACTGTGGCGGCGCGAAAGAGCACTCGGTCCGATTAGGATAATCTACGCGTCGTTGCGCGAATATCTAATCATCGCGATTAAAGGGTTCTTACGAGTACACGATATCGAAGAATCGTGGTAGGTCGTAATATATTTCGATTTTCGATCCCAGCTGATGGAGCAAACGGCGGTTGGAAGGGGGAAAGGGGAGAGGCCCTGGAAAAATATCAAGTGTCGAACTTCTGGACACTCGATACACAACACGTTACGACGATAATAACGAGAAAAAGAGAGGTATACGCATCGACCGCAACATTTTCTTTCTTTCTTTCTTTCTTCGACCTCGAGAAGATTTGATTACGCTTACGAATACGATAGCAGTCGCAACGAAAATTTCATTTTTATCTTTTATCCGATCGACTAACCGCGCATCAGCGAATACTGAGAAAAAAGACGGAGAATTGATTAATATTTTCGAGTGTTATCGACTTTTAAAACGTACGTATTGTAGATATACCGGTGAACGTCTCGCCGGATGTAGCAATGAACGAGCGCAGCGAGAGCCAACGAGCCATTTCCGGGGCCTCCTGCTGCAGAATATTACATTGATAACAAAAATTGCCTTCCAAGTGTTCGCGATGGCAAAGCCAAGACGTTGCCGAGTCTCTTATTCTTCTTATTCGTCTATCATTCTTTAACGAAACTATAATAACTCCGATAGGACGAACGTTTAATAACGTCAAACTGCATTTCGAAGTATTTCTAATGATTGTTTACTTTGTATAGGAGATGAAAGAACAATCTTCGTCGTCGTCGTCGTGGTCTCGATTCGAAAAAGCATAGAATCGAGTCGATTAAGAAGGATCAAAAGTCGTGCCAATCCATAGACACGACGCACTTTATCCGCTTTAAAAGATCGACCCGAGAACCAACGAGAGGAACGTCGACGCCAAGTTCGAACGTCAGCGACATAAATTCTTAGAAAATCATTTGTCTGCTTTTTATTCGGTCGATCCACTCGAGGGGCAACACATGCTCGACTCATCGAAGAAACACACACCGCCGAGATGGCGCGAGATGGAAACACGTCTTGACAAACCTAATAAACGTAATTTATTAACAAACTTCTCCGTCGCCGATACCTAACATTACCAAAGGAAAAAAACAAGAAGAAATTTCGTATCTCGTGGTTCGTTGGCAAGCCATTGCTATGCTCGAGAACAAAAATCCCAAGTACCTATGGAATTATCCTATTCAGAAAGCATAGCTCGAGGCTTTCTGGATCATGGTATCTCGGTTGAACGGCGCGCATCGGTGGTGCAGGTCTCGTGAAACAAATCAAAGGGTCCAAGGGATAGAGGGGGAGCAAAAGGAGAAGGGTTTGCGTGTGCCCGACGTTCGTGAACCGCGAAAAGAAGGAAGGAAGGGAAGAGAGAAGGGAAGGGAGAAGGGAAGGGAGAAGGGAAGAGAAGAGAAAGGCCGAGCTAGTCGAAGGGAGAAAGAGAGAGAGAGAGAGAGAGAGCGTGCATTGAAACGCGTCATTCGATCACGGAGCTGGTATCAGGTGCAAACCAGTTTCGATATACATATAAGAGAGCAGTAGAAACGTACAGCAAACTTTGGCATCGGCAGCTAGACATCACCGAGAGCTCGGTGGCCTCGTCGTCGAATGAAATTCTGCAAATGGCGACCCGCACTCTGCTCTAACAAAGATAAGGAACGCGCGTCTACGCACCGACCTAAATAAATCTATCAACAGAGTGCTTTTTCTATTGGCCGATTAAAAAGAAACTTTTCGAACGATCGATCGATCGATCGTGATTGAGACGAGATCGCAATTAGTCCGGGTCGCTTTGAAATAAGAAAGATCTCTCGGGCAAGAGGAAAAAGGCCCGAGCATTGGTGTGTCCACGTAAAGACACATTCTTCCACGAAAGCAACTCGTGCATGTTCGCCTTCCTCGAAACGTGTCTCGATTTCTCAATCGCGACTTTAGTTCTCCTCTCAAAAATTCGCTACTCGTTTAATCGGGCAATCCGTTGGTCGTGTTCTCTCTACGAAAAGCCCTTCTTTTACAATTTCCAACTCGGGGACAAACATAGTTCTACGCGATTGATGTCGAACGAAAAAACAAGGAGCGCGCTCTACGTGACAACGCGTCGTAAACGCTGAACGAGCTCGATTAATTTCGATATGACCTCAGCCAATCGCGTGACTCGATCTTCACGAGGGTACAGCGTAGTCTAATTCTATCCTGACTCTATTTTGCCACATTTGATCGAGATGCTAGACGCGCGATCCGCTTTGTCTTGATCTATTAGACTACGAATATATGGACGAAACTAAATAAGAAAGAAACCACGAAATACGAGAGATCCTATCTCGTTCCGTGCTAAGAAGAATAAGTACCAAAATGAGAAAAAATAAGACATTGGATTGAAGCAACAAATTCGAATCACGCAGAGAGAAAGGTACGATACATCTGCCAGAACGTCCGAGACGGGATTACAGAAGATTTTGTTCGTTTCGAGTGGGCATACCGAGATTAAAGCACCCCTCCTCCCCTCTTTCCTCCTGTTGACCCAAAGATCGAGATGAACGAGCCTGAAGCGTGCGCCCCCGAGTCTGGGATCCGTCATTATCTCTATTCCAACTATTCCGCTAACATTACAGACAAATTCGCTTCCTACATATAGAAATATGGGTTTGACAATTATCATAAGATTTGTTGAAAAATCGAATTAACCGAATATCGTAGACATCCTTAATATTATAGTGGCGCGCCTTTCATCTTGGACATCGCACGAAGAGGTCTTACGAAGACCGCAGGGTCTAAGAAAAAGGGGATGGACGAGAGAGAAAGAAAAGAGGAGTAAGTAACGAAGGAGGGTCCTATCGTCGTCCCTAAACGCTTATTATGCGGCATTACTGGTAGCCTCGTACATGCACATATAATACGCAGTCACGCGAACGTTAACCGTTGCGAGGAACTCCGTCGGAACTCCGTCGGAACTCCGCATACTCTCCGTACCGAGCAAGTTTTTTGCACGTGCTCCCTTCCTGGGCGATCTCTATCGTGCGGTGTCGTAATTGCCGCACCTGAGGACCATCCGTTGTCCTTGATTATCGGGGAAGGATGGAGAACAAAATGAAAAGAAGAAAAAAAAAAGGAAAAAAAAAAAAGGAAAAAACCGAGAGGAAGAGGAAGCTTTTCTACGCGTGTTATTTCAACCAAATATAAATTTATATCGAAGTCTTATCTTATGTCTACAAACGTAGTCGGTTCGAAGTCATACATAACGTGGTGCGGAATGAACTTATTTTTAGGTATACCTTCTTCCCGAGATAGGAGCGATTAAATATTCGAGACGTTTCGAAGTTTTTTGTTTGAACGACGCGATAAATAGGCAAGCGAGCAAATCGAGGGGCCAGGAAACGCGATAAGAGCCGACACGCGTGATACGATTTTACTCGAAAGCGGAGAGAAAGTTTCGAATAACAGGCTGGAATATGTTCCTACCTTTTGGATACATCGCGTTAAAATCTTTCGTAAAGAAACAAGTCCCAATTTGGATCGCTCGTTAGGAAGGGACTAATTGGAGCCGAATCATTAGGCGCACCAGGATTCTTCCTCGCGTATTTTATCCGGTGCGCTCTCCTATTATTCGAAATACGGTTATTCTCTAGGACAAATAATAAAAATATGAAGAAAAAGGTATCCTCCAGCAGGTTGCACCAAGATTAGTTGGTAAAGCTTGGAATTCCATAAATCTTTGCTCCATTCGTTATCGGTAGCGAAGATCCGTGCGTCCGCCCGTAAAACGATCGTATAATTGGACGAAGCGAGGTGTGAAATCGTCGGAGATTATTTGAACGGACTTTTGCCTCTGCATTACCGCAGGAATTTCGCGCTCCAGCGAAAAACGATGCTCGATATCGTCGGCGGCCTCGACCACGGCTGTTAATTCACCGATCGGCAAAATTACTCACGGATTAGAAATTAGCTTCTTCAAAGCGATGCCGCTGCAAATGAAAATCAACGAATTCCTATCGAATAAACGAGCTTTTAAGATAATAAAGACAACAATGCGAATGATTATACGACATCGAGCAGGAAGATAAAGAGGACCCGCATCCGATATACGAAAGAGTATCTTCCTTTTCTTTTCTAAGGTGCTATCGTCTTACGCATTCAGCAAGTTTCTTACCAAATGGGTTCGCGTCTAAAGAAAGATTCGGGATGGACGTGAAATGAAATTTTGATGAAACATTTGATAGTCGATAAAGATACGTATGGAAATACATTTACAAATAGAGAAAATGCCGTTACCGTCTTTCGATGATTAATGTGAGAAATAATATAATAGATCTATAAACCGAGGTGCATAGGATTTATGTATGTATGTTTAGAAAAGATGATAGAAACGTTCGACGCGCGAGTAACTGTTAAAAGAAAAATAAATTGGAAGAAGCGGCGGCGTTATAAGTTGAAAATACCAGGAGCCTCCTCGAGGACCCATAATAATTGCTTCGCGTTGACGATGGGCCATTAAACGTGTTTTTCCAACGTTCATTTTTTTCAAGAGAGGAGTAAAAAAATAAAAGACAGCGAGATAATATTTTGAAGGGCTACATTTGACCTGCTCGATGAGTTCTCCCTCCCTCCTGCTCTCCCCTATCTAAACACGAATCTCAAAGATAACGTTCGGTTTGTAAAGAAAAGTAGAAAACGGACGACGATTCCTTTTCTTGGTAGGAATAGGAACGAGCAAATAAAAAGTATCCGATATATCTGGAAGAATATGACACTCGAAGCTTCAGTCGTTAAATATTTCAAAGACTTTATAATACTGCGTGTTACTATTTGACTTGGGACATTAAGTTGAAATCTATTTCGAATCCCATCCGTATTTCTCGATTTATTATTCGAGAGTTGGTTTCCCGCGAACACCTGCGCGAGGAGGATATCGAGAGCGCATCGGTTACGAGTTTTAAAACGAACAGAGAATAACAAAGAATAAGAGCTCCGAGACGACTGGAGAGATAAGAGAGGGAAGAGAAATTATAACGATGCTATCGGGATTCCGTTTGCACGCTGCATACCGCGAAACTCGGCGTAGCTAATGCGCTCGACGCAAACCAAAGAAGAACATCCGCCGAGACGCTTCGTTGCATCGGATAATATTCTTTTTCCGTTCTCTCCGATCTTATACTCGACTTTGCGAATTTCTTCGAGTTCTTCTTATTAAGAGACTACAAATCTTGTATGAATGAAAAATGAAAATAAAAACAACTTCCAATTAACCGTTACCGCAAATATGTGCGGAAAATCGTCTCTAGTGGCAAGGGTTAATATTATTAGGATGACTCTGGTTGGATAATCGAAGGTGGCGGCGAGCAAAAGAGACTATACCGATCGACGTAGGAAGAGCAAACAATTAGGCGGAGCCTCACGGTCGAGCGTCGAGATAAGTATCTTCCTGTCGGCCCACGAGATCTCACGTGCTTCGTAAATCTTATAGATGTACGGCTATATAAAGAAGCGTTTAATGCGGCTACGCCGATAATGGGACCCATCTATCTACCTGTCCGCGTAATCTGGCAGTTGCATCTTTCTCTCTTTCTCTGTTACATGCGCGCGCGCTCATACTGATCCTCCTCGGGATTGTCATCGTTTCGCTTTCTCTTCTCTCCTTCGATCCTACAAAGGCATTCGAGAGAGAAAGAGAGAAAATATAATAGAATTTACGTTCAACTAAGAACATATCCTTACAATAAAAAATGTTCATATAACGAGTGGTAAGCTATATGGTAGAAATGATAGAGAAGTCTGCCATTATATTAGATTACCCGTTGATAAAAAAAGAAAAAGAAGCAGCCAGAGTTAGGTGGCATGTCGCGAGTTTGGATCATATCGCTCTGGTATAATGGACCAAACGGGATCTCGAAGATTAAACGAAGGGAGAGAATGTATCGATAATAGTCAGTATCGATATCAAAAGATACGATCCTTTTTCTTGGAAGGGACGATAAGACTTGGCCAGTGTTTTCTCCTTGCCTCTTTTTCTTTTTCTCTTTCTCTCTGCTTTACGAACGGATAAATCTCGCAAGAGAGAACATACAAAAGTTATTCCCCTGCGGCTAAGGTTCGATCGACCGAGAGAAACTCGTAGAAACGAGGAAAGAATGGGGAAGTGCACTTGAAAGTACTTTAAAAAAAAAAAAAAAAAAAAAAAAAAAAAGAAAAGGAACGACAAATAAAGATCCACGCTCTTTGCAGATTTTTCTACAAGATCTTTCGGAGTTTACGAACAGGGTTTATGAGTCAGCGTATGTATTATTTCAAGGCAAATTGATTGAAATTTATCTCTAGAAGGATAAGTTGAATAATTAATTCGTATCAATTTATTAGGCTATACGGTGCACGTGCTTCGATGGGCAATCCCACCACGCGAATAATATGCGAATACGATCGAGGACTATATTGATGCTCGAGTTAGCTCGATTACGCGCTAATGCTTTACGGTTAATCATTTCTAGCTGTCGGAAGACTCTCCAATGTTTTCCACCTTTGGCACGCGTATATTAGCGTATTAGGTGTGGACGTTATATCTCGTATTCATTGACTCGTACATACCGATACAAGTAATATCTGGTCGAATCGATAAAACGTGTTAGCTCGTTTAACCGACTGAACGAACAGGAAATAACGATTAGCGTCTACGACATCCAGTTAATCTTCCTACGCAAGACGACGACGACGACGACGACGACGACGACGACGACGTAGGAACGATAAGCGTTCGTAATCCAATTAATTGATCACATACTTATGCCTACGCTGATTATTGCGCTAAATAGATATTCGAACAAATAATTCATTATTTCTAATGGTTATCTTACTTTCGGCCGGCTTCGAGAAATCTGTCAAACTCTACGGACATCTTGCAGCAAAGGGCTCGTCTGTTGTGAGAGGAAGAACACTTCGTATCAATCATGTGGCCGTCTGAAATCAAAGACTTTCAATTAAAAAAGAATATACGATTGAAGTGAAACTTGTATTATCGCGTTGAAAACAATCAATTGATTCATATATAATTCATATATATTTTCAATTTAAACAAATGGAAGTTAAAGGAAAGTTAAAACAAATGTATTTTAGTTTAAACAATCGAAAATATTAGTAGAGTACAGTACTGAATTAAATATACCTAAAATGATTGTTAATTAATCGATAAAAATTGGTGTTTAAAAGCTCGGTGTAAAAGATCTAAAATCAAGTTTCAAAAAGTCATCTAAAAACATAAAAGAAAAATATATTGAAATTATTGAATATTCAAAGTACGTTAAAAAGAATGTAATGTTCAAATCAGTACATATGTGTTAAGACAAGCTGAAATATAAAGAGAGTGCATTAGAGAATGAAAATAATTGTTAATTAATCGATAAAAGTGTCTGTTGTCGTCTAAAAGCTAGGTGTATAGGATCTATGTACCATCCTCTTCGAAGTCTTCTGTTAGACTGAGTCATTACCCTTTGAAAATTTACTTTTATTGAAAGTTGTTTACATAACTTTCCGAACGTTGCGCATGTATATAAAAGGAATAATCCACCTAATCGATAAAATTTAAGATTATAACATTCTCATTTTAGTATTTTTATCTATTTTATGTAATTATTCTACAGCTCCTGCGCAATGATGACTTTGAGGGTAAAATTTTCTTTTATGTTTTTAGATGACTTTTTGAAACTTGATTTTGGATCCTATACACCGAGCTTTTAAACAACAACAGACATTTTTATCGATTAATTAACAATCATTTGCGATACATTGAATCCTCTCATGTTCATCTCCACTCATCCCTCTATAAATGCACCTCGCAATAACTATCGATCGACTGTTAGTTTTATCTCGCTTTTTTGATATCATTTCATAAAATTGTATCGTTATAGTCGCCTAAGAAAGTTCACTTGAAAAATTGTTCTCGGTGCTATTAAAGAAAAAGAACAATTTCTAAAAGTTATACTTTAAAATGACACAGATGAAATATTATTAATATGTATTATATATTTCTATATAATGTTAATATATATAGCAGACGGACAAAACCGAAATTGGAAGAAGTAATGAGGTAAACGGTTTAAAGAAACACGATGCGCGTGCCGAGGTCAAATGTCGAACGATCCCCGAGGGCTCGCGTGCTTCTTCTTTCCTCTCCGATCATCTTCGATCCAATCACGACCTACCTTCGAGTCTAGCACATCGTTATAATCAAATGAACGATCGATTTCCCGGGTAGACGCAATTCAAACAAAGTCTTTATTTTAATTAGAAAAATATACAAATAAAAGTAAATGTAAAAATGTAAAATCGCGATTGTTACCAAGACGATTCCCCAAATTGTCTACGTTTTCGTTTGGAAGCCTGCGGCTTTTCTCTTTCTCTCTCTCTCTCTCTCTCTCTCTCTCTCTCTCTCTCTCTCTCTCTCTCTCTCTCTCTCTATCTATCTTGCATCTCTTCTGGTTTTCCTCCTCGTCATCTATAGTCGCGTATCTGGCCAGAGGCTGCACTTGCAGAATGCACGCAATGCCGGAACACGTCGCAACACACATGCTGCTTGCTCGTCCATATCGCTTTAGCAAAATTTCTTTTCTTTTCCCTCTCTTTTTCTACCCTCCGGTGGAGGGAGGGTAGGAAACCTTAGCATGGAACCCGCATTCTTATTCGCACTTTCGAGCCTGCTCCCTTCCTCGCATACCAACGAATTTGCACGTAAAAATTACCAAACGGCTATGTAGAGCGTACCCCGAACGATCTTACGAGGAGGTACTACTACGATAAAGACTACTCGGAGAATAAAAATAATACTCACTCGTTTGATTCTGAAAGTATGGATCTTCTCGATCGGTGAAAAACCAGATCTGCAACAAAAAACAAGGAAAGCGTTACTCTCGTTATTATTCTTCTCTTTAATCTTGTTTATTCCTCTTATTCGAGTTTGCATTCTTACGATTACTACGAGAGAAACGTAAGATGGGTATACACGTGTTAAAATGGACGCCTATTTTTAGTTCCAGCTCTCGTGGAGGGGCATAAAGAGAGGGAAAGAGAAGCAGACGCTGACAAACAGACAGTAAAAGACGGAAGAGTCTCTAGAGGTCTAGGACATCCGACCATTAACGTTAAAGAAAAAGAAAAAGGAAAACGGGTGGTCGTGCAGAGAGTTAAAATTTCCTCGAGGACTTCCCTTAGTGGCGCCGATCCGAGTCTAACTAATTCGTCCAAAAGTATACTACCGAGCTACTGAAAAAGAAAAGAACCGAAAAGAATAGTGCAGGGTAAAGTGCTCATTGTCGATCGCCGTTCTTCGTAAAGCTCAAGTGGCAACCTTAAGCCGACTGTTACCTCGAATTTCACTCAAGCTCCTCGGATTCCATCCGACTCCTGGCTCGTAGACCATATTTATGCACAGAGTCAACCGTATAACCCGATCGCTTTTTTTACATACTTTTTCTTATGCTTACAGCCTAAACTGAATATCAACAAAATAATGAAATATTTTCATTTTACCTAGGTAATAAAAATAAAAATAGCGCGAACAATTTTTAAGAAAAGAAACATTTGCGCGAATTTTTTTCATTTGAAAATCGTTACGTTATGTTCCAGTTACTCGAAAGAGACTACGGTAGGAAAAATTTATCGCGTTATCAGACGTAATGAGAGGCACTTTTCTCGTTGAAGAGACAACTAATCTCGTATTACGTTCTCGCGTAACGCGCTAAACGAAGGCTAGGAAAGAACGATTCGAAGTAACCAAACTACTCTCAAAGTTCGTCTCATTAAGAGCATGAAAGACAATTAAACGCGTCCTTGGTAACCGTTTAACAAAATGAGACTTCTTTTCTGTGGTATAAGCTGAACTAATTAGAATTAGTAGGTCTTTCAACGTAAGACCGTACTCTCCTTGAATATTATTTTCGAGGAAAGATTCGAAAGATTCGAAGGATTTGAAATATTTGAAAAATTCTATGATGGACAAGGAATAACTTATAAAATACAAAAGCTAAGAAATACAATAGATCTAATGCATAGAAAGGAGGAAAGAAAAGAAAGAGGTCGGAAGGAAAAGCGAATTTCCTTTTTTCTCCGTGGTCAACCGTGCTACCTCCAGTCAAGTCTACCTCTGGACAAGCTACTGCGCTAATGTTTTTCGACCGTAAATCTTTCGAAAACGTTTTCTCTTCGGTGTTGGATGCAAGAAGGGCTCGTCTCTCTAGGGTTAAGGCTATTCTAGGAAACAGCGTGTAGCGGTGGAAAGCAAAGAGAAGCGTTTACAATACGCGCAATTAGCCGTTCCAAGATAATATCTCAACAAGTAGGTTCTTCTTGCGTCGTAAGAAGTTTCTTGCGTTGAACTACTAATGCCTCGCGTTTGCGCGCTCTTCTTCGTCCTTTCCCGTTTACCTTTCAGCCTATTATTAACGACAAGTAATACAAATAAATACACAGGAGCGAAATACGCGAAAGCGACGAGGGGGAGCTTTTCAAATATGTACGAGGAGCCAAGAGGAGGCAAAAGAAAACGGAGTCGTGGGAAAATGAAATGTTTATAACGAGACGAACGACAACTCCTCTCTTGTCCGCGAATACGCTCGAGTACGCTCGAGTAAACGCACAAAGTACCGTCTATTCCCTGCCGAATATATAATATTTGCGAGAAGAGACAAATTTCCCTTTTCCCAGGAACTCTTTCCTACGATCGTAAAGAACGAACACGCCTCTGGATGAAAGTTTAGATGCGTACCTGATCCTTGGCAAATTGAAACCATGTGTCGATGATTGCCGGCAAACGAGAACGGTGATAGTGTTTGGTAGTTTTGACGCTGATAAACACGTCGTCCAGATTTGTAGAGAAGGGTACGATCGTGGCCGTAGCGACCGGTGGGGTCATCGCCGATCCTCCTTCCTCGATAATGATTCTCCTCGACGCCGATACTTCGATCACCGTTTCGTTTTTACCATTAACAACCTCGCTGTTTAACTCTTCCACCAGCTGTAAAGAGAAAACAATGGGAGCATTTATTGCCAAGGGATTGTCGCATTCGATCTTTCGGAGTACATAAGAAAAAAATAATGAAAATGGCCCTAACCTGGCGAGGTGCCACTGCTTGATAGAGGAGAATGGTGACATAGGCGGTAACAAGAACGAGAATCAAAGCCTGTAGGCCTCGTCTCGTTGGGACGGCACGTGCCATCCTCGTTGCATCAACGATATGGCTTTTGCGCACCTCGTACGAGGGAGAATAACGAGCACCTTGCGAGGAACCACCGACATCGGCGCCCTCGTCACCCTTCGGCCTCCCTTTTTCTACACTCTCCTCCTCCTCCTCCTCCTCCTCCTCCTCCTCCTCCTCCTC